GAGATGCCCGGAGATACTTCCAGCTGCAGGTCTCTGCTGAGACGCAGTGAAAACAAGGCACAGCAGATGTTTTCAAGCTTAACATGTCCAGGGTAGAAATCCCATCTCTCCCTTTGGGCAGTGCTGCCTGGTTTGTTATGGGTCACCATTGAAATTCTCAATCCAGGAGCGAAGCTTGGCAACATGGCTCCGAGGAGGGGTACAGGCAATCGCCGCCTCTGACTCATGCAAGCATGGTCTCCCCTTATCCACAGGGCAGTTTCAGCTTCAGCAGAAGCAAGACTTGCAACCGTCTTGCCTTTCTAGAGAAAGCAAGTAGAGATGTCTGATCTGCACCTCCTCTGCCTGCTTTGTTTCTCCACATACTCTGTTGCTGCGGTCTTACCCATCTCCTGCCTGAGAAAGGCAGCCCCAATCTCTCACTCCTTCCATGTGGGAATGCATTCAGCTTTCTGTATTCGTTTGCTTTTTAGAGGATCTTTTTCCCACCAATTTAACCAATTACTTTCTGAACACAACATTTATATTTTGGCCTCAAACATCTCACAGCAATGAGTCAGCATTAGAACTATGCACAGGGGGGAAAAAAGTACCTCCTTTTGCTTATTTGCAGGTGATGTTGGATTATTTCATTTGGTGCCACCTAGTTGAGAAACAGTGGATGGCAACCATCTATTCACAGTCTTCATCCTTTCCCGGGAGATGTAAAACTCCGCTGTAAAAAGAATTAAACACACTCTGTAGTACTCGTCTCTGAGCATCCTTCCTGCCCCTTGCACATTTTCCAGTTCCACTATCTCCTGTCTGGAAAAGACAAGAACTGCACTGGTGTTCAGTGAGCAAACCAAGCGGAAGGATCTTAGTCCTAGCCTCCCAAAGCAACCTTCTGCATGGGTTCAATCTATAGACCTACTGCGAGGCAGGAAGAGTAGAGGCTAAATTTTCCATCGTCATGGTACCTACCTGGTTTCTACATTTCCCAGTCACTGAGTTCCTTCAAAGTAGCTGAGAACTGGAACAAGCATCAAACTCGCCCCGTGGATTTTCAAGCCACACAGATTTACAGAAAAATAGTGCTTTGAGAACATACAGTTTATTTCTGCGGAGTTCAGGAAATGGACACACACTTAATTGTAGCAAAGGCTGTTTTCTTCATTTTAACAACATACAACCAATAAGCATGGTGGCCTCACTTCGAGGCAGCCCTGGGCTGGGGCTCTGATACACCAGTGTCTGAAAACCAGCTCCACACCTTTCCCAGTGAAAGCTACTCTTGGCTTTGAAGGCTGAAAACATGCTGTGATCCTCCTTTTGGGGGAATTTAAGGACCACCGATTTCCCTTCCCTTTTAAAAGCAACGGCAGCATGACACTGTTGAGTATGGACACTGTAGGATACCAAACAGGAGGAAATCTTATCAATTGGCAGGGTACCTTCTAATGCTTCCTCAGTTTTGTATCAAGCTTGGTAGGTTCATGGCTGAACCATCCAGTCCTCAACGCACCACAGGTATCTCCTTTCCCTTTTCAGAGCAATCCTATGGATGTGCTGAATTTTACAGCATTTTTGTCTGGCCACAGTAAACAGACAAACTGAACACAGCCCCTGTGGGCTCCCTCCCACCTTCATATTTCCTTCAGGTCTTTTACTGGGATTTATACAGCATTTTACTGCCGGGACCATGTAAACAGTTTAACCCCCTGCAGGATATAGTCAGGCTTTGCCTTGTGTTTTTTATAGAATTAATAAACTAATTTGAGCTTTGCCTGGGCTTTCATTTCTCAGCAATTTCTTTTATTAATCTTTGCAGGGGCTCGAAGCATCTTACCTGAATCTGTCTCCTGGCAACTAGAGGACTGTCGTGGTTAGCAGAACCTGGAAGTGGAGGGTGGTATGTGGGAAACACGTGGTTCACCTCCCAGGGCTACTTGATTATTCTGCTGGAGTTTATGAAATAGAAAAGGGTTTAATTATGAGAGTTAAAGAGGTATAGATGTTACAGTCAAAAAAGGAGGAGAAAAAATGTTCCCACTCCCAAACAATTTCTCCCTTTATTTTTAATTTTTTTTGTTAAACCAGGCTTTTCCTCGTTGAAATTTATTTGGGGGAATTTTGGATACATCGGGATCGTGCACAGTAAAAACCACAAAATCTGCCAGATCATCAGCAGGACACTGTAAGGTGCCTAACAGGCACCAGGAAAAGGCAGAGAGCTGGAAAGGGAAAGAGACTACTCCAGTACATGATAAATTCATGAAAGAAGCCGGAAAGGAAAGCAATCTTTCTATTCAAAAGATAAATGTAACGTTGGGGTTTTTTTGCTGCTTCAACCATCTACTGCAACTGTAATCAGCGTTTCCTGGCCACAGCAACTACAGGCTTACTAAGGAGTTACTGTGCCTCAGAGAGATTATTGATAAAGATAACACACCTGAAAATAACATGCTTTCCGTTGGCTCTCCTCCAGCTCAAATATTTGCTGCCAAGTCAACTGAAGGAAAGAGCAGTCAGACGGTTGCTCTGATTTCCCACCAGCACCTCCGTATCCTCAGCTGGGTGCTTGCTTCGGTGTCACTGCAAGGAGAAAACCAAATGCCAGCAAGGCGGCCCAGCTCAGAGGCAGTGAAAGACTGGAGATAACAATACTTGTCTGGGGTAGTTACTTAACTTTCCTTAAGTTATTGGCCCAAATCCTGAAGAGCTGTTCTACTGACGATACTGTGTAGGGTTTGGTATCTCCTGTCGCCTGGCCTGGTTGTAGCCCGTACCTAGAGTAACCTAAACAGCTAGCACTAACCTCCCTCTCTCCTAGCCCGATCTATCTGTTATCTGGAAGAGCTGTAGCTCTGCCGATGCCTGGATGAGCCCTCCATAGAGTCCAGCCTACTCAACCCTTATTCTGGCATTGCCTAACTCAGCTGTTGCCTGGCCATCACAAACAGAAAGCTAAGTGCAGCCTAGCTTCATCCCATTGTAGCTGTGGATGCTACCTTATGCTACCTGTAGACTTCCTTAGCCTAGCTTTGCCTAGCCAAAAGCCTCCTGCACCTTCGCCGGAGGCCAGGCTAAACTTATGCACTGTCCCCTCTAGACCAGCCTTGTTGCTCCCTAGACCTGATTCACCTGAGCCTTCGTCATACATTCAGCTAGTCAAACCCATGTCCCGAAGGTTGTGTTTCCCACCTTAGCCCCACTGCAGCAAAGCCAAGCACAGAGACACCATTAACAGCTGCAGTCTGTCCTGCGCTTTGCAGCCAGCAGTATCCAAACAAGAGCTCTTCTCCCATTTCTGTGCAGCACAGCCAAGCTCACCTGTGTCTTTCTGCCAGCAGGTTTAAAGGGACCTGGCTCTGTCTAACGCCTTGAGGCATTTACAGATTAGCAGATCATGCTGTGAAACAGTTAAGTGCTTATTTTATTCCCAGTGAGAGCAATATGCCCAAATGCATCTCTCCAAAACTGGAGTAAAGAACAAATACCTCGTTAGTATACATGAAAATTACAGACAAGAACATACGACACAGACTACCAGAGAAAACATACATTCGAAAGAGAACTGCTGACTCGAACCCAACATGAGACTTGAGGGGCAGCACGGCCTAAGAAATAAGATCTGAGGAAGTCCCTAGGCCCAAGGTGACAACTCAAGTCTGCAAGTCCTTGTCCAGTGCTCTGGGCCGGACACTAATCACTCTGTGGCCTGAGATGTTAGAACGGCCTTAAAAAAAAAAAAAAAGCTGAAGAATTTTATGCCTCTCTTTCAATAGTACTGATGGCAGGTCTGAAGCACAGCATCAGGGAAACCACTGATGATTCTTCACAGGGGGAAGAAAACACCAGGATTTCTCAAACCTGCAGCTTCAGGTTGACTTTGGGTGTTGCAACCTGGCATTTTTATACAGACTTTTGTTTTTCAGACTGAGAACAGCCCTTTAAATATTGCTTAGAGAGTGGGATATGCTGAATCCAAACCTGTCTTGAAAGAGTTGAATTTAAGTAGATGACAGTAGTCTTTCAAAAAGCTTGCATGAAATTTCTAACTGTCATTAGTGGGTCATTAGTTGAGGCCTATTATGAGATGGGGAACAGGAAGAGAAGGGCACCTCAGTAGTCAATGACTGAGCAGTTAAAAAGCAATAAACGCTTCCAGCCTTATACAAGATGTTCAGACTGCAAAACCGGGAGGTTAGCTCAGCACAGTTCATGCCAATCCCACAACAGTGCCTATTTCACAGCTGGTCAGACCAGTTTTTAAAATGCAAATTTAAGTCATGCAAACTTCACAAGGGCTCACACCTTCTCTACTATGCAGGCATATTTCACTGGGAGGATGTGAGGAATATCCCTTCGAAACTGCAAGGGGAATTTTACTTTCACTTAAACTAGAGTCTCTCCCAGAACAGCAGGGCTACGGATTTTTACTTATTTGTAAAATAAAACTGGAACTCTGTCAAAGACCAGCAGCATGTCTCATCTAAAAAGCCTGGCAGGTGCAGCAGCCTAGGGACAATGTGAGATTTTATTTGTTCCAAAATAGCTTTTGGAGCAAAACCAAAAAACAAGAGCAATTTTTCTAGAAATTAGTTTCTTCTCTTTTCCCCACGAATACTTAGGTTTTGTTTTGGGCCTGAGGGAACTGGAAGAGATTTGGCAGAAAATAGAAAACATTTTCATGGGGAATACAATACACATTTTCATGTGGAACACAGTTCACATTTTCATGTGAGCAAAACACATCATTAACAGAAATAGCTGAACAGTCCCCACCGCACCACAGGCCTTCATAACACAACTGCACCTCCACTTTCCCATCAAGCACTGGAGCACAAACAGGCCCAAATGCTCACACCCAGTGTTTCCAGCAGAACACAGTTTCAGAATAAGTTATAATTAAATATACGTTAACATGAGTATTAATTCATTAAAGGCTACTTTAGCCACTACTCAACTGACAGACACTTCAGTCTCTGAATTCCTCCATGTTTCTGAAATCTAAAGCTCAAGGTCAAGAAGTGGAAGTACAGAAAAGGCTCATAAATGCATTCTAAACTGCCTGGGATTGGCAGAAGTAGCACGTGAGTATAGACCCAAGAGAGCTCAGTAGTCTGCTCACAAGTAAATCAATGTCCAGCTCCTCGGGAAGACACTGGCCCTTGAGGTGGGAGCAGCCCCAAGCCATTGTCACTTCAGGTACGCAGAGGGACCCCATACGAAACCCAGTTCTTTCTGCTAGGTGCTACATCATAGCTATTGCAGAGTCTTCAGTGCTGCACTCCTGCTCCAAGCCCACCCGACGGATGGACTCCCTGTATTTCTGCCGTCCCAGCTCAATGATGGTTTCAACCTCATCAGCGATGTCCTGGCGGCCACTCTCTTTCATGGCTGTAATCAACTTGCTCACACAGTCAGGATCCTCCAAGTTTTGCTGAGCCCATGAGAAAAGCATGTCCAGGATCTGCTTATCAAGGTCCTCTCTGAAGAAAGGGGGAAGCACAGAAGTAACCAACGTACTCTCCTGGCAACCCAAAGAGGCCTTACCTGAGTCCTAGCCCATGACTGGAGCCCCAAAGAAGCCATCCAGACACACAAAGCACTCAGTGGGCCTGCCTATTCCCCACCCATCATAAAGGAGTTGCAGTTCCTGCACTAAAATCTCTCTGGAAATTTTTTTCCTAATGGAAGTATCAAATTAAAGCATTCTGCTTTTGAATGTAAATTCCCCACAACAGTAGTTTGGTCATAACAAATCTCCTTCTCTCCTACTGCTCTGACTTTTTTGGTCAGACTGCATGTCCCATGACGTACCACAAACTCTTTTTGAATAAAGACGATATTCACAATTAATGCCATAGACCACTGCTCATTGTCAGAGATGGAGTCTGGCCAGGAATCCAGATCACAGAACAAAACAGGAATGCGGCTCATCTGAACTACAAAGCTCATCAGGTTTGTTATTTCCCAATTTTGTTTTTCAAACATAAAGCTTTGTTTTATAATGGCAAGAGAATATAATCAGTTTTCCATAAAAAAGGTAATGTTTTGAGAAGAACCATTAGTCAACCCATCTTTTATGCAGTGAAACAATTCCAGTGGGAAAACTTTCAACCAGCCAAGCATTAATTTATACTATTACACTGCAGATAGATAGATAGATAGATAGATAGATAGATAGATAGATATAATGCATCACTGTTGATCACTGTGTCCTATCTTACCTGTTATTGTATCCTATGCGCTCAATCTGCTGATAAGTCAAGCCCAGGTTCAGGCCGATGGTCTGCCAGTCAGCTCCCACGCGCCTGGCAATGCTCAGCAGGTTTGCCTGTGTCAGGTAGCCAGTCTCTGCGTTGCCCAGGTTCAAGGGAGGGAAGGAGAAGCCATTCAGGGGACAGGGGTTCTCACGCCAGCGGGGTTTCAATCGCTGTGTCACAGAGAGGAGAGAGAGAGAACATGCTAAACAAATTGTTTTTGTAGAGGACAGTGTCTGGCCATTCAGTCTCCACACAGAAATTTCCTTCCTCCTACTGGGGAGGAAGTCATAGCTCACACTGGAAATTTCCTTTCTTGTCTTTACAGAGCATTTTTCAATGAACCATCTCCCCAAAGCATATTTGCCTCAGCGGTAAGAGAGCACTTACTTAAGTCTAGATTTGTAGTTGAGGTTGCATGTATTAGAAAGGGATGTGAGATCATGGCACGTGATCTGAAGGGAAGCATTCAGCCTACAAAGGTATTTATTGTTTTAAGCTTCTCAAAAATCAATTAAATTCCATAAGCAAAAGTTGCATTTCTCACTGTAACATACAGCCTAGTCTTTAAAGGCCAGTGGCTCACACCAGAATACTTCTACTCAATGCCTGTATTCAAATCCAGCCTAACTATGTCATCCTAGACCTTTCTTTCTCCCTGCTGAAAGCTGTGTGACTAAGAAATTTATAAACAAAACAGACACCTCCCTTAATTACAGTGAGCTTCCTCCTGTTCTACATCCCTCATTCATTCAAAGGATCCACCCTCTCTGACCACCCATCCAACAAGCCTGTGCTTGACAGGCAAGATGAGCAAGAGAGATGGAGACCACTCCCAGCTATTCATGTTTCTCTTTTCAGAAGAGCTCATGGGGAGTGGGAAATCTCCACCACAACACGGCTGGGCAGCCGTTTCTTGCAGTCATTCATTGCATCCGTTCTCATGAAGGAAGACAAAATTAGCTGAGCAGGAAGGCCGTGCTCTTACCCCATCTAGATTAATTTTTCTCTAGGAGACAAAACAACTCACAGGCAGTTTGATGGGCAGAGTAGCAAGCCAGAGAGAGTCTGGTCCTTTCCTCCTCCTGCTGGCGTCTTCAGGGATGCTCTCGGGAACTGCCCCTCGGTAGAAAGAGACCTTTGCAAACAGAAAGCATGCAGTGAGGCTCAGATTCAAGCACAGTGGCCAAGACTGTTTGTACCATGTCTTTTCTGTCTGGGAAAGAATGAATTCAGCATTTCTCACCTATCCTCAGTCCATAAATACAGCCTCCCAATTAAGTGCAACTGGGAGGAGCTCTGAGGTTCTGCCATAAAGGCTGGACTCACTGCCAACACCCCAAGAGTTAATGGCAGGAATGTAAGTCAGAGAGCTAAGTGATGAGTGGTCCTTCCAGACTACTCTTCTTGTTTATTCAGGGTTTAGTCAGTGAAATGCAAAGCCAAGGGAAAGAGGGGAGGAAAAGAGTCATGCCCATTGCTCAGAGATTATTATGAGGAGCATTGTAAAAGTGATGGTGATGAAGGAGGAAACAAAAAGTCAGTGTAACTAGTTGCTCACCTGGCCTTTTACAGCTTGGCCTTTCCTGTCTACAGGGGAGGTCACATAGATTTCCTTCATGTTCTTCAAGTGGGAGTAAAAAATAAACGAGAGACGTCCATCCACACAGTCAGGGCGATCTGTGCAGAGAAGCAGCAAACACTGAACTTGTGCAGAAAAGTGTGCAGCTTTTCAAGCCTGTCCAACAGCCCATCATCCACTAGCAGCCTCCATGCTACTACCTACTCCTCCTACTCATGCCTGAAAGAATTGTAACCCCTCCTTCCTCGCTGGGTGACATGGGAAAACAGAAAATACTGGCTGTGGAGAAAGCAGGTCCTACAGGTGAAAAAGGAGAATGGCCACAAGGTGGAGATCAAGTTCAAGAATGGAAGGCAAGGCAGGGCAAGACATTCAGATGGAGTCAAGTCCATCCTTGGCACTTCCCTACCATCCTTGGTCCTTTCTACCCCTTGGAGGGTAGAATCAGCTGCAATAGCATCCTGTAATGCACAAAAATAGGTCACCTATCGCTTCACCATTTCTGCAGTGGGTGCGGAAATAGGAATAGAGCTAAAGGGAAAAAAATATAATCAGGTACAACATTCATATATGTAATTACCTAGAAATTAAGTTAGAGTCCAGCCTAAATCAGGACAGTGAGACAGACTCTGGCCTCATGAACTCCACTGAAAGACCAGTGCACTTTATTATTCTTCATAGAGTTGTGCTTAATTTACACCAATGGAACTGAGCTGTATGTTCAGGTTTTGCAGAAAATGGCTCAGTTTGCAGCTGTAACAGGTCCAGACACAGTGGGGCATAAAATATCATCTTGAGTTTTGTCCTGCTCCCTCTCTCCTTCTCTTCTAATGGCTCCGTTAGAGGGAATTCTTTGCTCTGGATTATTTCAGAAACACCTTCTCCAAAAAAATATCTTTATATGTGTTCTCTCAGAAATGGGCAACATTAACTAAATCACCATGGACATTCCAGTGTGGTGTCTAAGATGCCAGGAAAAGGGCATAGCTGGCTGCAGAAGCAGATCAGTCATAAAATAAACACACTTGGCTATTGCCAACATGAGAGGAACAACAGCATGAGAGGAAATGAAAGCCTGCAAACAGCACTTTCAGAGTGAAAAGTAGACACAAAAGTTGGGTGACCACAGAATGTGACAAGTTCAATGTCCATGGGCTGGCTGCTGTGAGTAGTGGGTGAGCTGGAGACAGAGAGGAATGCCATGAAGGAGTACAGCCCCCAGCAGAAACACACTTAGGGCTAGAGAAGCAGAAGAGGTAGGAGTAGAAAGGAGCCTAGTACTACCATACCCATATCGATGCTGATGCCTCGCTCAAAAGCTGCAAAAAATTGCTCTCCCTCAAACATCTCCACCATGTCAGATGGCTCAGGTCCTCGATAGCGGTCCTGCAACTTCTTCAGCACTGGGTCAACCTGACAAGGATGACAACACAGGACCCCGTGTTTGGTCTGAAGCATGTCTGTCCCCTGACCCATGTCCCTACATCCACGATGTTCCTCTCATTCACCTTCAACAGGGAAAGTCCATTTCACATGGAAAGGATGTAAACAAATGAACAAACACCCACCCCCTCCTGTCCCAGTTACATTCACTACAGACAAGGAAGTGGTGCTCTGAGTTTTGTGGCTTCTCTATTTCTCTTCTCAAGTAAAAAGCAGAAAAGCCTATGTGGACTAACAAAAAGAGGCCATCCCAAAGCTGCCATTAAAAAAGCATTTTCAGCAATGTCTCTATCTTTCTAACAGGTCAGTAACCTTCAAAGGCAGGGAGAGATTTACTTACTACCTTATTCCCCTCACAGTATGCCATTAAAAGACATTTTCTCTGCAAAAAGCCACATGCTACAATAGCACACAGCTGAGGACACCAGAAAGCTCATTTTGGCTTTGCAGCCTGTGATCACACTGTCAGACCTGGGGTCTCGGAGGCAGTGCAAGAGTCAGCCTAGAGCCAAGGTGTCTATCCTTCTTTCTATTTGTAACTGTAAATCTTCTCTCTTACCCCATGACCATGCCTGGCAGGAATACAGACACCCCTGAGCCCCAGTCTCACTGTGAGTGCCATTGCTGCCTCCTCTGGAAATAATTTTAGCCCAGAACCCAAGATATAAAGAATCCTTACAGATGTTTATGCCCACAGATCGTTTCAATACAGAAGAACAAATAACAAAAACAAGGAGCAACCAGATCAGAGGATTATGCAGAGAGTTGGGATAAGCAGCCCAGTTCTGGCAGTCTGATAAAATAACCCTCACCTCACTGAGCTGCACTGTCTGTCAAGGTACACACTCTACAAACACAGAGGCACACTTAATTTGCTAACATCTGAAGCAACACTGCTGAGGGCTGATACCCCTAGGGCAGAAGCAGCAGAAGAGAATGTGTGAGCGTTTCCCATCTCCTTCCCATCTCCTTCCATACAAAGTCAGCCAGATTAGCTCAAACTAATAGCATAAACTAACCTGATGATGCACTGAAGCAGATTAAGGAGGGCTTATATGCTCTGTTCCACTGCTTGAACTGTAAACAGCAAGGAACAGCGGGAAGAGTGCCATTTCTAACCACTCCAGCTGAAACCAAAGCAGTGCTTCTGCCCACACTACTAGTCCATGTCAGACAAGTGATGTGTTAACCTTAATATCTTTGACTAAGCCAACACGTTTTGCCTTGTGTTTGCTAGATACTAACAGCATGCACATGGCCAGTTACTGTGGCTCAGCTGATTTTAGCAGCCCAGTCCTCAAGGTTCGCAGGGGAGGAAATCACTGCATGGCATCCACCACTGCACAGAATGAGTTTTCCTTCTTCCCCCAGCTTCCAGTAAGCTGGTGTCACACTACCAACACAGTGTGGTGACAGCATACCCCAGCCATGACCCTGCAGCAGTGAACAGGACCATTTGGTGCACTGCTGCCCTTACATCCTACAAAGGGAGGCCCAGGAAGCTCAGGAGCAAGGCAATGCAACCCAGATCAGACCTTGTGCTTGGGGACACACTGTAGCAGGACTTGCTCTGGGTCCTTCTTCCTCTGCAGAGCAATGAAGTTCACCTGGTACATACGCAGCCGCTCATAGACTTTCTTGGCAATGCCTCCAATGTAGGTCTTGGTGGTGTACCACAGCCAGTACCTGGCAGATAAGGGAATTAAGAAAAAGGAGGGATCCTGCCTAGGAAGAGAAGCCAGTGTCACACCCACGAGACTGTAAAAAATGATGGGTAGAGACAAAGTGCTAAGCTGGGCCTGACTTGCAAAGGGAAAAGGGAACAGGTAGGGTTAATGGCATGACCCCTGGTCAGAGTGTGGGAAAAGAGGAACATCCCATCTTTTCCTTAGGACTAATCCTGCACTTACCAGGAGAAGTGGGTGACTTCAAATACTGCATAAAGATGGGTGAATTCCAGCACCACCTGACTGGTAATGTCATCCCAGGTTTGGCCCTCCAGGTCACCATGGAGAAGATGTAGCCTTGACTGATCCAAATTTAGCCCTAAAGACAACAACAATCAAGAGATGCGATATGCAGCAGAAGCCTTTATTCATGGCTTTACAAACCCAGTCACAGTTTTGGGTGATTCACTTTTTAAAAGCACCAAATTAAGGCTCATGGCCTTCTCTTCAGCATCCAGGACTGAACTTCGGTCAAAGAAGAGCAGCAATAAAAGGTTGAGGCTACCCCAATGCTTCCAGGATATTCTGGCAAAATATGCAGAATTAAACTGATAGTGTGCTGATTTCCACCAACAGATTCATTAGACAATTCCCATCACCAATATCTAGGGTTATTAATTAAGTTCTATCTCTTTCTAAATATACATCCCACAGACTTTTCAATCCTGATGCACTTCAGACATGCAAATACCAGGTAGTGCTACAATGAAAGCCAAGCCGCACCCAAAAAGATTTTACTTCTTCACAAGAAAGCCAGGAAAGGTCAAAGAAAATAGGAATTAGGAGACACAGGGTACTTAGCACGCAAACAGAGGAATCCCTGGCAAGGCTGAGGCTGTTTATAGCAGTATTCAGAGTGGGAGATGGCTTAGTGTATTATCGTACACTTTTAACTGCAGTGGCTCAGCACCTGATTCATGAGCAAGGAAGTAAGAGAGAAGGCAGACCACTGGAGGCAGCATCTTCATTACCTGCTTCAAGCTATTCCCAATCATGAATCAAAGCCCTTTTACAAAGCATCTCCTCAGTTGGCAGGAGTGCCTCTTCAACCCGTCATACCAAAGCCAGCAGTTTGGCCAGAACCCAAGATATAAAGAATCCTTACAGATGTTTATGCCCACAGATCGTTTCAATACAGAAGAACAAATAACAAAAACAAGGAGCAACCAGATCAGAGGATTATGCAGAGAGTTGGGATAAGCAGCCCAGTTCTGGCAGTCTGATAAAATAACCCTCACCTCACTGAGCTGCACTGTCTGTCAAGGTACACACTCTACAAACACAGAGGCACACTTAATTTGCTAACATCTGAAGCAACACTGCTGAGGGCTGATACCCCTAGGGCAGAAGCAGCAGAAGAGAATGTGTGAGCGTTTCCCATCTCCTTCCCATCTCCTTCCATACAAAGTCAGCCAGATTAGCTCAAACTAATAGCATAAACTAACCTGATGATGCACTGAAGCAGATTAAGGAGGGCTTATATGCTCTGTTCCACTGCTTGAACTGTAAACAGCAAGGAACAGCGGGAAGAGTGCCATTTCTAACCACTCCAGCTGAAACCAAAGCAGTGCTTCTGCCCACACTACTAGTCCATGTCAGACAAGTGATGTGTTAACCTTAATATCTTTGACTAAGCCAACACGTTTTGCCTTGTGTTTGCTAGATACTAACAGCATGCACATGGCCAGTTACTGTGGCTCAGCTGATTTTAGCAGCCCAGTCCTCAAGGTTCGCAGGGGAGGAAATCACTGCATGGCATCCACCACTGCACAGAATGAGTTTTCCTTCTTCCCCCAGCTTCCAGTAAGCTGGTGTCACACTACCAACACAGTGTGGTGACAGCATACCCCAGCCATGACCCTGCAGCAGTGAACAGGACCATTTGGTGCACTGCTGCCCTTACATCCTACAAAGGGAGGCCCAGGAAGCTCAGGAGCAAGGCAATGCAACCCAGATCAGACCTTGTGCTTGGGGACACACTGTAGCAGGACTTGCTCTGGGTCCTTCTTCCTCTGCAGAGCAATGAAGTTCACCTGGTACATACGCAGCCGCTCATAGACTTTCTTGGCAATGCCTCCAATGTAGGTCTTGGTGGTGTACCACAGCCAGTACCTGGCAGATAAGGGAATTAAGAAAAAGGAGGGATCCTGCCTAGGAAGAGAAGCCAGTGTCACACCCACGAGACTGTAAAAAATGATGGGTAGAGACAAAGTGCTAAGCTGGGCCTGACTTGCAAAGGGAAAAGGGAACAGGTAGGGTTAATGGCATGACCCCTGGTCAGAGTGTGGGAAAAGAGGAACATCCCATCTTTTCCTTAGGACTAATCCTGCACTTACCAGGAGAAGTGGGTGACTTCAAATACTGCATAAAGATGGGTGAATTCCAGCACCACCTGACTGGTAATGTCATCCCAGGTTTGGCCCTCCAGGTCACCATGGAGAAGATGTAGCCTTGACTGATCCAAATTTAGCCCTAAAGACAACAACAATCAAGAGATGCGATATGCAGCAGAAGCCTTTATTCATGGCTTTACAAACCCAGTCACAGTTTTGGGTGATTCACTTTTTAAAAGCACCAAATTAAGGCTCATGGCCTTCTCTTCAGCATCCAGGACTGAACTTCGGTCAAAGAAGAGCAGCAATAAAAGGTTGAGGCTACCCCAATGCTTCCAGGATATTCTGGCAAAATATGCAGAATTAAACTGATAGTGTGCTGATTTCCACCAACAGATTCATTAGACAATTCCCATCACCAATATCTAGGGTTATTAATTAAGTTCTATCTCTTTCTAAATATACATCCCACAGACTTTTCAATCCTGATGCACTTCAGACATGCAAATACCAGGTAGTGCTACAATGAAAGCCAAGCCGCACCCAAAAAGATTTTACTTCTTCACAAGAAAGCCAGGAAAGGTCAAAGAAAATAGGAATTAGGAGACACAGGGTACTTAGCACGCAAACAGAGGAATCCCTGGCAAGGCTGAGGCTGTTTATAGCAGTATTCAGAGTGGGAGATGGCTTAGTGTATTATCGTACACTTTTAACTGCAGTGGCTCAGCACCTGATTCATGAGCAAGGAAGTAAGAGAGAAGGCAGACCACTGGAGGCAGCATCTTCATTACCTGCTTCAAGCTATTCCCAATCATGAATCAAAGCCCTTTTACAAAGCATCTCCTCAGTTGGCAGGAGTGCCTCTTCAACCCGTCATACCAAAGCCAGCAGTTTGGTAGAGAAATCCATTTGCCAAGGCCATTCTCCCAGCTTGTGCTGCTGGTCTGTGAAGCCCAGCGCTGGTCTGCTGGACCTGAACTACCTTCAGCTCCCACCACCCTACACTACCACTCACTCAGCAGACACACCTTGCTGTTCCTGCAGGAAAAGAAGCAAGCTTTATTATTAACAGGAGAGGCAAACAAAATTCCCAGCTTGCCATTTGTGGTTTTCCACATATGGCGTTTCTCTTTGCCAATTTTGGGAATAAACTGACCTGTAACCCCGGGCGGGAGGGGCAGCTGAATTCTCACTGGCCTGAGAAAATCCACCAGGGAGTCCTGGGAAAGGCAGAGCAGGGGACTGACTCTGCACCCTGCATCGGCCGTGATTTCCTCTATCTCTTCTGCAGAGACTGGCAGCACCTGGATGTGGAAGACAGCATGGTGAGCGGAGCAGTCAGGCACCCACATTCCCACATCGCTCACTCAGTTACCCCAGCACCCAGCAGGCAAATGCTGCTCAGTATTACAATAGCATTTAGCACTATCTAGCAGCTCTACAGAAAAATTAATTTTAGTGGGATGGCTTTAGAATTAGATCCACATAAATAATCCCCCCCCCAGGTCTCACTCACTGAGCTGTTCTGCCAGGCTAAGTATGTTTTGCAAGGGAACAAGAGGCAAAATCTCCTTGTGTTCTCTTCACAGCAGCTACCTGCTGATGTGCTGGAGGCAGCACTGGCAGAGCTGCAAGGAGATCCCTTTCCCACACAGGGCAGCTTGGGGCATAGTCCATTTTGCAGGCAGGGAAGCTAAGACAGAAGGTGATCTGAGATGGGTCAGCCCATGAAGCATCCGTGTCAGATGTGAATTACCCTAGGGCGGACATCTCACCTTCGGCTCCCCTACTTGGCATGGGACAGCAGCTGCACTAGGGCTTACTAAAGCTTGTTTTTTAAAGCATGCATACCTGCAGCTTGACACTGCGAGTCTCTTCAGTGACTCCAGGAGGAAAGGTCACTTTGATGTTTGGATCCACACTGGAAAAGAGCAATGTCCCTTCTGTTGGCACTTTGCATTCATTTTGCACAAGTCGAGACACAACGAGGAACCACGAGAAGTGAAGGACACTACAGTGAGCCACATGCTTCTGTAACAGAAGACAGGGAAGAAGAGAAAACATATAAGCATATAACATAATACAATAAAGCCAGGAAAATAGGTGCCAGTAACAGCTGAGCAGATGAAAGCACTAGAACAGGGATGAAGCATGGCAGGTTGCAACTTATCATCTTCAGGAGACACCTCCATGACAGAGGAAACCTGGAGCTGAAATCCACTACCTTTTATAGCAGCTGCTCAAAACACAGCTCATGAGATGTTTCAAATGGGCTCACTCTTGGCTGGGTAAAACCAAAGAGGGGAACAGGAATGATGTGTTTCACTGGTCATTCCAATCTGCTTACCTTTGATTTTCTCTTCTGCTCCAGTCTTGTTCTCAGATCACTCCAGCTCTGCCCACTGAAGGTCCGAACTACCACCTCACGCTGGTGAAGGGTTTGAGGGGAGGCATATGGCATCCAGATCTGCACCTCCTGGCAAAAAAGCATTCCTGTGAGACACCAGTTGAAAGGATAAAACCAAGCCTAGCTCTGCTCTGTGGCTTCCTGTGCAGACAAGAAGGGCGAGGGCAAAGCACGGCCTGTATGCAGAGAGTGGAGGAGGAGATAGGAACCTGCTCTGTCCTGCAGCCTCCGGGAAGGTGACAGGAGATGTCAGCTCCGCTATGTAGTGTGACGACAGGAAAAGTTCAGCAGCTTGTGGGCAGAAAGGGCAAAGCAACTTTTGCAGTGAGTTGCTGTCAGCCATGACGGTGCTGGTGATATAAGCACTCACCAGTTTGAATGAAAACCACACAGTCAGACTTTTAGGGAAGGATGTGAACCATTCTCCTTGCAGGCTAAGGCCAAATGCTGGAACAGCACTTATCCTCTGGCACAGGAGGAGAGTTGTGAGTGAGGAAGGTTATAGTTCAGCTCAAGCAGGAGCAGTGGGGAAGGCAAAGGAGCCAGACCAGCACAGTGCCAGAGAAGCTGGCTGTGTCCTTTCTAAGTGTTTGCAGCAGGGCTTCTTTGAAAGGCAGTCCTGCAGCTACTTAAAAGCAGCAGTGATGGGGCTAGCTGTCTCAAAACTCCCAAAAGACTCTCTCAGAAGACTCTGCCAAGCTTCTGCAGAGGCAGATTGATCAGGAGGTGGCCTGGATGTGTCCTCACCTGCTGGAATTTGACCCCATGAGGCTGCAGCTCCAGGGCTCTACTTAGCAGGACATCATGGTGTCTCAGCTTTACCCACTGAGGGTCTGGTGCGAGGGTTCGGAAGTAGATCCGCAGAGGGTCAGAGGCAGCCCCGGGTGGAAAGTAGAAATGGATGCCACAGGCCAGGACCACTTTGCAGCCTTCAGAGGTGACAGTAAAGCTTCCAGAAGAAATGCATGAATGTATGACACCGTGCAATGAATTCAGCCCTCCAAAAATCAACAGAAGAATCTCCTACCTTGTGTTTGACTGGCCTACTGAGGCCATAAGCTCCTATACACATGTGCAATACCCACCACGCACCAATCTTGTCTGGGACCTTGTTACACCACTGTAACATAAGTTCTTAATAACAGAGGCTTACCTGTCCTCTCCTGATGTAAGGAAGAGTCTTCGAAGCCCTCCGGCTCTGGATTCATCTGCGGCAATAAGAAGGTTTGGGTAGGAGGAGGAGACAGACGTTACTTAAATCAGGGTAGACAAGAAAGGCTGAACTTGCATTTCAGTTTTGGCTTAATCCTAATCTGACAGAAGTTTCTAACGGAACCCTGCTCACACTGCAGCAGGCTTCAGATCAAGCAGCAGCAGGAGGACGGGAAGAGGACTAGGGGTCCCAAGATGCACTGGAAATGCTGACTCTCCCCCAGGAAAACTCAGAAGCAGAGGGAATTAGAAAATATTTCAATCTACAACCCTGCAGTTCTCAGGGCCATGTTTGATTGCCTGGGGCCATGCCTGGGAATCAGTGCTTCCTCTTGTGAATGTGAGCACCATTGGGAAACCCTGTTCAGATTCCTGCTTATTCATCACCTTCATCCTGGACAAAGAGCTGCTCCTCTGCAGCCTGGGAATGACAGGAAAGCAGGAGGTAACTGCACAGCAGAATGACCTCTTATTGCTCTCTGTGCTTCTAGCATGAGCCACCACAGCCTTAGGGCCATGCAGCAAGTCCAAGAACTGGTGCTCACTTCTGCTAAAAAGGCCCCTTTAGGGGCCTCTCCTGTTGTTTCCTGTGAATCCCATTTTCACTTCCACTGTAAAACCTTTCCTAGGAAGCCCAATTCCAGGGACCACTGAGCCCTTCAGACCAGGCTTGGGCTCGTAAAAACAGAACTACTACTGTCTGTATCCGTACAACCTCATAATTATTCCAGACAAATAAATACTGATCTGATTCCCCCCTGCTTGTCTTCTCTAATCCAAACCCATCCATGCCATGCTGGGCTGAGTGAGGGAACAGCTGGGCAGAACCCACAGCAGCAGAAGCCTTGCAATTACCAGCCTGCGGGGATGGCTCAGTTTCTCCTAAGGGATTGCCTCGGAGGCGCACGAATGGCGAGGTCTGGATCTCGGGGGGGACAGCACGGAGGCAATTGTTCTGCAGATCAAGTCTGGACAAGTTGGGCAGGCTGGCAAGCGAGGCAGGGACTGTCACCAGGAGATTGCTGTGGAGATGCAGCCGCCGCAGAGACTTCAAATTGGCTGCAGGTTAGAACAAGAAGTAACTCCCCATCCGTGCTGTTAATTGCATTGCACACCAGCTCTAACCCCCCCGCCGCTCTCCTCATCACATGTACACACACAGACAAAAGCACAAGAGCCCAACATCTCTTTAACTCACAAAATAAAGGGGTCCAGGGAATTAGCTGAGAGGCATCGCAGCCTCCTCTGTCCTCTGCTTTTCAGCACCCAGCTACAAGTATGGATGTAAGATGCTTCCATAACAGCATCAATGACAACCCCGGGCACAAAGTAATACAGGACCCAAGAGCCAGGAAGCTGGGCAGCAGAAGTCAGAGCCCAGTTCCGTGGGCTGGTCCACACTGGACAGCATGATTGCAAGCCCAGATTTGCATCCCATTAAATCCCAGCTCTTCTGTTTCCAGTCCTGGGTGCTACCCAAAACCAGCCAGGCCAGATCCTCAGCCATTGTAAATTGTATTGCAATCTTAGCAGTCTTGCTGATCCACAGAAGCAGAAAGCACGGTCCAGAGAGTTGTTAATGCTCAAAGGGACTGACTGAACCAAGCATGTTTCTTCTGGATATCCCTTCCATTTGGCTCTAACATAACAGATGGTTTGTGCTAACAACTCTGGGGACAGAGACCAAGGGCCTCAGGGGTCTTAGACTGTACCAAAAGCTCAGCAAGCCCACGCCCTTCTTTTCCCCTAGAAAATACTTACCTAAGGAGTCTGGGATGCTCGATAAGCAATTCCCAGAGAGATCCAGCTCTGTGCAGCTGTGCAGATTCCCAACTTCTTCAGGAAGGAATTCCAAACCATTTTCCGAGAGATCCAGGTCCTGGAGCACTGCCAGCTCCCCAATGCTCTGAGGTAAGTCCTTCAGCTGATTTTTCATAGCAGAGAAGAAAGTCAGCTTGCTCAGAGAGCCGAAGTCCTCAGGGAGTGCCACCAGGCTATTGTGGCTCACCAGGAGCACGCGGAGGCTGGGGAGGTGGAGGATGCAGCTGGGCAAGGTGGAGAGGCTATTGAAGCTGAGATCCAGGTGGGTGAGACACCTCAGGTTCCCAATGTCTGGTGGCAAGCTTGTCAGGGAGCCATGCTGACATGAACCAAACTCATCCCTGGCATGGCCACCTGGGTGTGGAGGGAAGTGGAGGAAGAGGTCAATATGCTACAGGGATACCTCACCAGCCTCACATGAGACTCCTTAGTACAGAGACCCAGAAGATGGGGAGTTACTGATCACAATGAGCAGCACTGACTACAAAGTACTCATAGAGAAGTGGGTTTTCTGCTCCTTGCCTCAGTTTCCTGATCAGTGAAAGGGGTATAATGGTGAAGACCTGTTATGAAGTCAAGAGATGCCACAGTCAACCAGTAAAGCTCTGCTAAACACATCTAGAGTCAAAGCTCAGAAAGAGCCAGGCCACTCCACACATCTACCACCCTTCAGCAGGGTGGCCCATACCCCTCCGAGCCTCTTACTCTCCTTCCCCACCAGCACCAGTGGCCAACACACAACACTTTATGGACTAAGGAGACATTCCTCGCCCTCCAGGGTTTGCCCACGCTGTTGAGGGACAAACAGCCCTGAGGACTGAGATCTGCCCTTGCAAGACTGGAGAGCAGACGTGAGGAAAGCAGTGAAAATGTGGAAAAAAAAAAAACAGGTAATTCAGTATTGTGTAGGCCAGACAGTGCAGAGGGGGAAGGATACAAGTTCCCCACCCCAGGCTGTGACACTCAAACTGGAGAAGAGCTGCATCCATGGAAAATAAGTCGAGCAAACAAAAGGAAACTTCCAAAACTCTCCATTTCTTCATCATTTCCTACTCTCCCTCCACTGTTGTCTATTTGTATACACATACAGCAGAGGGCACCAAACATTTTTTATGCTGCATGATGGCAAAAAATTAGAACAATCAAACTAATAGACACATTGCACTTTGTACATAAGAAAATCTTAGCGAACTATTTTATTGCACTTCAGGATGCTCAGGGTGTGTGTACATCTCACAAAACAAACCTGATAAAAGGTATTGCCGTTATCCTCACCTTACTAAAGGGGGAAAAGACAAATGAAATTATTCACATGAGAAATCTGTGGCAGATATAGAAACGAACCTCAGGCTTTTCAGTTTTCAGCTAGAACCCTGAATTCTAGCCACAAACTCCCCCTTTTTTCTCTTATTTCTTTTTAAAATTCCACCTCCCAAAAAGCAAATGATTCAGTCTGATACAGAAATTATACCATTTGTATTGAGATCCTCCTACAATAAAGAGATAAGAAAGTCAAAGAATGATCTAATATTTACAGGTCAAACAGCTATTACAGCTTGCCAAATTACATGCATGCCCTGAGTCATACTTTTGATAAAATGTTGAGCAGCCTCTTCTGGTCTGTCTTGAACTCTGCTAAACCTACGCTCGCTGACACTAAGCAAGGATTAAGCTAGGATTGATTCAGATGGAAACACAGTAAAGACAGCTCATTATACTCCCAAAAATGAAAGAGAAGCTGAACATTTACCAAAAAATCCAACACCTTTCAATCCCCCTCTCCTTGCATAACTGTGCAAAAAATGCTCTTCTTCTAGAAGGTGGCTAAAGAAAATGTTGCAGCATCAACCCAACCAGATTCCAAAAACTGGTCCCCAGGCAGCTGTAGAAACAAAGGAAGGAAATAAGAGTCTAGAAGCTGTATCTTGTTGAAATCTGCATGCAGCTCTGACCAAGACTAAGAGCCAAAGCTGTAGTAAGGAGCACTAGAACAAAACAATTCCAAAGGCAGTTTGTCCTGCAGATGTGGAGAGAAGGATAAAAAAAAAAGCTGAGCCTAGAAAAGTTGGATGGTGACGGGCCCAGGAATTTACCTTTGAGCACCAGGGATTTCAGGTGCTTCAGATGAGGAAGGATGCTCAGCGTGGTGCCAAGGAGGCAATCGTTGCTGCTGAGCCGGAGGAACTCCACCTGGACCACCTCTCCCCGTCGCCCCTTGAACAGCTGGAGGAACCGACAGCAGCCTTCAGGATAAACATCCAGGTTCAGCCTGTTGTCTGCAAGGCAGGAGCCAGCGAGCGAAGGAGCCCCCAAAGCCCCCTCCCCGCACTTGTCCCCAAGCCCCAGCAGCTCTGCCATCTTCTGCGTCTCGTCCACAGGGTCCAGACATGCTCTGACTTGCCAGGCAGGCAGGCACCGGCAGCACCACGAGGCAGCCGGGATAAGGAGGAGGAGGAAAGATGGCTCTGAAAGAGAACACAAGTGCACGATGAAGGCCTCCTGCCCCAGCCCAGAGTGGCTGGAAACAGTTTATAATCACAGCAAGAGGGCAGGAGGGATTACACGTGTGTTACTGAAAGCTTTGTGGGCAGAGAGCACAGAAATGCAGGGTGACGGACACCATGGAGGCTTCTCCTCCTAGGGAAAACCTCTGAGTTTTCCCAGCCAACACCTCAGCAGGGAATGGAGCAATTATCCACCATGAGAATAAATAGTAATATTAACGTTAGAAGATATAAATGTAAATGCCTATGCCTTATGCAGATTTCAAAGTGCCTTAGCAGGAAGCTTTACAAGTGGAGGGGGAAACTGGGGCAGGGAGTGCTGAGCCAGGAGCAGAGCCCAGAGGCTGCTCGCAGGCTGTAACAGGTCCCCATCGAACCCAGTTGTGAAACCGGGTGCCAACGGGATAAAAGTGAGTGCAGCTGAAAATGGGCAAAGGGCAGCGGAGCAAACATGGCAGGGCCAGGGAGGGGGTTAGAAAAGGCACGTCTGTGGCACAGGAGCACTGGACTGCGCAGTGGAACTGGGGCTCTTGCAGATTTGCCTCCACAGGGATGCTCTAACGCAGCAAACCGAGCACGAAGCCATGGCCGGCTAGTTACCAGCTAGTCCTTGTTTCCTGCCCTCACAGCACCCTCCACGGATTAAGAGAGAGGGGAAAAGTAGATCTCACATAGTGCATGCTAAGAAGGATTTACACCTAAAGGAGCAGAGGTATGAAATTTGAACAAATTAATTATTCCTCCGCCTTCTTAGCATGAAGAAGCCTTCATCCACCTAGGACTTTCAAAATCAGCCACTATCATCATAGCACACTGGTAGTGCAAAGATAAGCAGAGGCACCACGCTTGTTTTTATACCTGTAGTCACATACTTCCAAGTCCCCCATTTCCTGCTCTTTCCACTTCCTTTATCTTTTGCAACCTCCTGAGCTTGGCAATAAAACTAGCTTATAGTGTGAATATCAGGAGTTCTTTTTAAACCCTGCCATAGATCTAATAGGGGAATAGAAATTTCTTTTGACTGAGTGATGCAGAACTATAAAAAACTTGTAACAGCTTTAACGTCCAAGGCCAGCAGAAGCAAGCTAATGCCCCTGCAACACCCTGAGGATCAGTGTTTTTTACTGTTAACCTGTGGAACATGGCAGCACTGATGTTCCCAAGGCACAGTCTGGGGGGAAGCATCACACCCAGCTCCCTGAAAGAGCAGAAACCTTACGGACACGTAAGTACAGGAAGAACAGGTAAATGGAAACTACTGCTTTAGTAAAAAGGTAAGTATTTCTTACAAAAAGGCTGTACACAACACATACACAGCTTTCTTACAGATGTGCGTAAGCAAAAAGATCATCTGCTATAGCTTTGTAGAGCTATTGATGGTGAAGGAACTAGAGGGCAGCTCCGAACTGGCCAGGCTAGAGAGGCTCGGAGACCACAAACGCAGCCACAGGCGTGCGTACAGGACACGGGCAGGCACCCTTGTGCACAGGTATGCACATGTGCACATACACACACATGTGCACATACACACACACTCGCCCAGGACTGTCCTCACCTGTGCTGCCGCCAGCTCCGGCAGCCCCAGGCCCCCATCACCCCACACCCCACAGGGCCCCTGAGCTCAGCCCCCGGGGACCCCCCCCGGCAGGACCTACAGCCAAGCAGCCAGGCCACACTAACTATGCCCCGCTGAGCACGGCCACGCTTGTCTCACCCCCTCCGCACCCGGTCCCTGGCATACAAAACCTGGGTCCCGAAAGCCCGGCCGCGCTCGGTTTGGCTCGGCTCAGCCCGGCACAGCGTGGCTCAGCTCAGGCACTTCCTGCAAAGTTTGCAGGCGAGCAGCCCTGCCGGGGGGCGGGACGAGCCGGAGGAGGTGCCAGATGCAGCAGGACAAGGGGCAGGCGGCTCTGGGGAACGAGGCCCAGGCGTCCTGCTGTCATGAAAGTGTCATAAAATGAGATTTTCCTAACACCGCCACAGCCTCGGCACCCCAGCCGGTCCTGGTGCGGCTCCCCTGGGCTCAAACGTGAGCTCAGCCTGCAGGGAATGGGAGGCACGGGCAGCTCCTGGTGGTGTGCTCATTTGCTGCAAACTCAGGGAGAGAAATGTAGCGGGAGCTGGGGCTGCAAGCCCAGAAGGCCACAGGGCTAGGTGCTGCGGAGCCAGCCCTCAGTCCGCCCAGAGCCATGCGGCTCTGCCACGGCTGGGCCTTTGCTGCCCCGTGTGCTCCAGGAGGGCGCCTGCCTTCAGCTAGCTGTCTCGCAGCGAGAGATGCCATTTGGTCCAACACCGCATCCTGGCAAGGCCCCACAGCATTTTGTGCTGCTCTCCATTTCGTTCAGAGGGGCGAAGCTGGGTGTTTCTGTAACGAGAAGTTTCCGGCTGGTGCCTTGATGCTGTGACATGGCGCTGCTGCTGCGTTAATGCCCTGGGAGAAGTGCCCCTTGCTCAAAGCTGAACACAAGCTGCACAGTGCCCTGAGGGAAATTTCTCATCCCACGGGGAGTGAACACGAACTGCTGACTGCTTCTCTGAAGCATTTCTGCAGTTATAAAACTGTGAGCCCGGTTGTTTTCAGGTGGCACCAAGAGTTACCAGAGAAGTGGAGAGTGCTCTCACCCGCACAGGGGGTTTCTGGGGAGCCTCCAGGGCGGTAAGGCAGCTATAGCCAAAGCCTCATCACAGCCCTGCTGCCGCAGCTGTTCTGGTTTATTTGGGTCCAGTGGATTTTGGCACGACGTTAACTTTTCACTTTTATTCATCTCCCTAATCCAGGAAGAAATCAAGCGAACCAAGCACGGGCGGTAACTCCTGTAATCCCACTGCAAGACCTTGCCGCTGGGTTGCTAACTCCTGGCCTCCCCGGAACAGGACAGGCCGCTCCCTCCCTCCTGTGGAGAGCTTTTCCTCAGCGGAGGGGCCTGCGCTTGCCGGGAGGCAGGGCAGGGCACGGCGGGTGGCATCGCCCGGCCCGCGCGGATGCCGCAGTTTGGGGAAAAAAAAGAACCACCCTGACGACGAAAAATTAGTTGCCGCGGCCTTGCGCTTGAGGCGGCACCCGGCACCCCGCCGCCCGCCCCCC